TAATAATATATACATAAAATAAGATATATTACTTATTAAAAAGAAATGGAGTAAAATAAGCTGAATATTTTTTTTCTTCTCACCAGGTCCACAAAATACAGGATTTTCTGATGATTTTTCTTTGGCCCTCCTGAAGCGTCGCTGTCTCGACGCGCTCAGCAAGACCGTGGACCTGTGCGTTAGAATAGTGGACGAACTGTGATTTTTTTCTGCTCGTTGTACCTAGGAAAAAATGTCAGAATCTCCTTTGCCACTTGACGTAATAAATCACCTTCAATCAGCCGTAGATGAATTAAGACAAATTCCYTTGCCTGTCAATGTAAACTCTTTCCTAAATTATCCTGATGAGAACATTTCTCGGGAAAGTCAATTAAATGAAACACAGCAAACTGTGGACTTTTTCCACACTTTGGACAAAGTAATTTCAATTCTCCCTCTATTTGATCTGCAAGCTTAAATAGACAGATTACGGGAAATCCCTTTTCCTTTAAACTTGACACATATTTCTCCTGATGAGATAATTTCTCAGGAGACTCGTCCGGTAGAAAGATCTCAGACTGTTGAAAATTTTCAACTTTTAGAGGAAGCTGTATCAGATCTTTCTCAAATCCAGGCAGATGAAAACTCTTTACAAAATTTATCTCAGAGTGAAAATGCTCTACACGAGCTTAAACAATTAATTTCAGGATTCGGGGCTGTGCCTTCAGATGACATTCATCAATACGGAGCAGGACCCTCAACAGAACAGAATCYAAATGCGCAAATTTCTACTCGTGAACGGTTTAATAACCATGAAATTCGCCAATGGGTTTTTATACCTCGTTCAGATAATGCACCGAAGTTAGCCGAATATTACACCAGTGTTATGAGTATTCTGTCAAATCTTGCTGACAGGGTTGAATCTTTATCCCYTAGAAATGACCTCATTCAGATTGAGTTATCTGGTGAAAACGTTTCCCATAATGTTACGTTCCACGTCGATGAAAACTCGAGCAACATTTTATCTGAATTTACAGATTTTCTAGATTGTTTAATTCAATCCGACGGACAGATKGATTCGGAGAATGATTTAGAATTCATCATTCAAACTGTTAAAAATRCYAGGGGAAGAATCAAGRGGAATGCTGAAAAATGTTTGGACACAGAATTAATAAATAAAAAGAGAAAACATCTATTCATCGTCCCTGAACGAAATGATCAATTGTGTTTCGCGATAAGTTTATCGCACACTCACAATCCACATTTAACAGATGACGAGGCTGTAAATTTTGCCAGAACTTTACAACATCAAGCCGGCTTTACAGATCAGACACCTATAACATTTTCTGATATTTGCAAATTCGAGAATATTCTGAACCGAAAAATTGTTCTATTTTTTCGCGTTTCCGATCATACATCCATTCAAAAAATTTAAAATATTTTCACACAGAACTAGGCCACTCTTTCTCTTTCTGTTTTAAAATCATTATTACGGTATCAAAAATATCAAAGCTTTCTTGGGGTGTAAATACTTCTGCAACTTTTGTTTTACTCAGTTAATTAATTTACACACACACAGTTGTGGAGGGTTTTGTCCAATCTGTAATGATCCGCTCTGTCCCAGTCAAGATTTATGTCCAGTGAAATGTACATCGTGTAACAGAACTTGCCGTAATCAGGCATGTTTTTTAAGACATCAAACTGCTGTTCGCAGACCCGTGGCCCAGAAAAACGTCAGTAACTGCGAGCTGATAAAAATGCCTTAAATGTCAAAAAATTTATCGCTTTCCCATATCTAAAAAAGAAATGCCGCACATTAGTGCACAGCGAAAATGTAGTGCTTGTCATCAACCCATATCATTAGCAGCAGACGTGACGCTCGGAAGCCATCATTGTTTCACTCAACCTTGTCCAGTCGATGATCGTGTGAATGATAAAATCATTTTTTATGACCTTGAAACATTTGCAGATGAGCAGAACGTGCACGTGTCATTTCTGGTGTGCAGCAAAAATATCGAAGGTTCTGAGTAGTCTTCTTACAGTCTGGATTGCGTTCATAATTTTATTGTGTATGTAGCGAATTACTTAATGAACCTTAGGACCAGCCTAATCTTCACAAAGGTAATCCCTCAAGATCTTGCAAAAATGAAATTTGAAATAATAAAATACCCCTCTGATCATGAAGTGAAAAGTGAAAACTTGTGACCTGGTCAGATTTCTCAAAATAAAGTAATTTATTTTAGATATATGAACAGAATAAACATACAAACAT